AATCTTCGAGGCCGAGTTTTTGAGATCATGAGTTCAGCATTCGGTTTCGGAGCATTAGTTACGGCTGCTCTCTTTAACCCACGATCTTCGATCCATTTCGTTAATTTGTATAGACCCTTTATCGGTTGTAATTTTCCGAGACCAACCTGTTTCATCCAGACAACCGGACAACGTATTTACTATCAAACTGTTAATCCCCTAGGTATATCATCAGGGTAGAGAAGAACGGCTATATCGGGATTGTGCTTCCACAAAATTTTTGACGAAGAATTCTTCATCGATTGGAACTCCATTATTGAAACCAATCTGTTAAACATATTAGCATTAAAGAATGAAACCTCAAATTACTCTCCGTTTTGTAAGTACAAACAGGTATTGTACCTTGAATTAAGAAAATGAAGAACATGCTTGACTAACATAATCGAAATAAAATTTATGCTGCGTCGAGACCCTTCGCTTTATTTTTCTTGTATTATTCGTATTCATCACTTGTGTTTAACACATATTCAGACATAGAAATGGGGATATGATTCTCCAAATAGGTAGAAAAACATATAAAACTTTAACAAACACTGTAACATATACTATACTACATAATATAAAGATAGTCATTAGTTCCAGAGTTAATAAAAGATGATTTGTTTTAGAGTTAAACAAAGCGATTAAATTATATTTTTGTGTCTAAATTATTTTTAGATTAATTTAAATATCTAACATTCTAACGTTATATTTTTAGGTGTATGGACCGTCACCGTTAAATGTCACATTTATAATTTAAAATGATACATATCGCATTTATATATTTCACCTTTGATGACATATGCCACATTTATAGAATTTTAAATTTTTTATTTAAAATAAAACTAAAAATTAATTTTAAAAAACTCTGAATTTTCTTAAATCTAAAGAAAATCTAAAACATTAAAAATCTTAATTTCAAACCCCAAACATCCGCTATCGTGTTGTTGCGCCGCCACCCTGATTGCCACCATCGACGAACACTACCTCAGTCGTCACGCTCATCCAATGGCCTATCATCGCCTCAATCCCCAAAATTCCTAGACTTAAATCACTAAAATCTTAAACATTTAAATCTAAATAAAATCCTTAAATTCCATTGATCAATCGTCATCAGTTGATCGTTTGAGAAAAAAAACCTTAAAGAGATGGGATACGCGGGTTGGCGGAGCTTTTTCTAGTGTTTTTTACTTTTTAATAATATTTTTTATTTTATAATTTTATAATGTCATTTAACGGTGGAATTTATAGTAGTGTCGATCTATACACCACAATGTGTAATGTTTGAAACTTTAGGCAACTGGATTAACCGAAAATAATTTAGATACCTAAATGAGAAAAAAGATATAGTTTGGGCATTTTATATTAAGTATTTTTTAATAATATAAAATAATTATAAGATAGTTGTAGACACTCATTTTCGTCCGATTTTTCCTATTCTATTCTATTTTATTTTTATATATATATTATAGTTTGAAATCATTTTGAAATTATAATATATAGTCTTTTAAAACACTTTGAAAACTGATATAATATATGGTTTTTAAAATATTTGAAAAACTTATAAATATTTTTAAAAACATTTTTTGAAAAAATTATATAAATAAAATTTTAAAAACATTTTCTTAAAACATATATAATATTTTTAAAATCATTTTTGAATACTATAATATATAGTTTTGAAACTTTTTTAAAAATATAATATATAGTTTAAAAAATATTTTAGAAATATATATATTATAGTTTTATATCATATTATTATTAGTATATTATACAATTATTTATCTCATTTTATTTAATTTAATTTATTTTTTTTTTTCCAGATCCAAAATTGGGTCCAAGTGAGTCCACTGTCGGGTCCAATAGTAATCTAATAGGTTTGGGGCCTGATCTAGCCCAGTGCAAATTAGGGTATGCAAAACCCTAGCAAGACAGGCCAACGAATTAACAGCGCCGCACAGGGAAAGACGAGCAGTCAATGGGCGAAACGGCTGACCTAAAATCCCGGGACTGACCTATCCCGAGATAGATGGTCAACCACAAACATTCCACAATGCCTAACAGAATGCGAACAAGTTCGGGAACGACCGGGAATATCCGGGATCGACCCCAAAAAATAGTCTGGGACAGCCCCATTGGGACTATATAAATAACATCATCGACGACATCTAGAAAGGGAGTACCAACGGGAAAACCGAAACAATCAAGATCAAACCACAAAACCACCAAAGCCATTGAACAACCAAAACACAGAGAGTCCATTAACATAATGAACCATAAATCGAAAAATAAGAGAAAAACCACAAACACAAGTCAAGCAAAACCATTCAAAACCCACATGCAAATATAACACAAAAAGTAAAAACCAGTGCACGTCAAAACGAGAGGAGCACATCGGAAAACGAAGGATTCACCGTCATAAAGGTAAAAAACCCGAACCTTGTGGCCTAGATCTACGATTGGTGGATGGTTTTCAAGGTATTTGGGTTCTAGGGTAGATGAGTGCATTTTGGTTGAGATTCGGGTTTTTTCGGTCGCCAGAAGTGGCGGCCAAATGATGGTCGGCATGGTGCGATGGTCGGCTTGGGGCCCGGTCTCCCTCCAATGAGGGATGTTGAGAGAATTCTCAACGTTCTCTCTCTTCATTTTCTATGAGAGAGAGGCAAATGAGGAATATGAAGGGGAAAACCCATTTTTTGGAATATACTAAAAGCAAAACTATGCCGTTTTGCTAGGGGGCTTCTGCGCATTTGTTGCGTATGGGTAAATATCAGCTTCAGTCATTTGCACTTTGTACCTTGCTATTTTAACCATTAATGCAACTTATTTTTATTTTTATCTCTTGTTTCGTATAAACTGCAATTTGGTCCTTGTTCATTTTGGAATGCTTTTATGATTTATTTAAAGCCTAGGTCATTATGTTTTAGTCTATTTATATTTCAGTAGTACATTTTGGGGGACTTCATTTTAGTCCTTATTTGGTCAGTTGTTTCACTTTTATTAGTTTTCAAATTTGGTCATAGTATTATAATTATTTTTTTTAGTCACTACGGGGTATCGGGTTAATTATTAATTGATCATTTACATTTTCACTTTATATATAGTTTTTTTATTTCTTCTAATTTAATTTTTTTCCTTTTTACATTGTTTATATATATATATATATATATATCTTTTATCTTTTATCTTTTATTTTATTTTATTATATTAATACTATTATATTATATTTTTTATTTTCTCATGTTTATTTCATTTTTACAATCTAACACTTTTGACTTTTTAGGGACCTTTCAATCGACCAAAGGTAATTAATTCGAATCGAGTTTTTAAATTTCAATTTCAATTTCAATTTTTCACAATTAAAGACAGCCGACAAATTAATTGGTAAAACTCAAATTAAATTTCAATTTCAATTTTTGACCGTAACCAACTCTCGAACCCAACATATTTATGTAAAACGTAGATCATGTAAGATTCGGATCAACATAAATTCGTTTTAAATGATCGTGGCAATTCGAACTCATTATTTCAAGTCAAAGCCCAATTTCGGTCCCAACCGAAAGACGATCGCGACAGCTTGGCGATTCTGTTGGGGAAAGGTAAGTGAGTTAGGCCGAAATTAATTTTCGATTGTCTTTTTAAGCGAAAATGATAATTTAAAATTTAATTTATTTATTAGATTTCAATTATTTACTTTTGATTATTTTCAAATAAATAGTTGTACTGACATTTTTTCAATGATTTCAGATTTTGAAAAGTTTCTTTCTCTGGCTCTATACCCGAGTTTCAAACCGTTTAAGTGGGGGTGAAAGCGACACATTCGTGAGAATTTATTCTCCGCACAGGCCTAGCAAGTACCTTTCGGGATTCATATACCTTATGTCTCGTGTGAATTTATTCACCGCACAGACATAAGGGAATGTTTCATCTCAAGTTTAACTTAGTCCACATAAGCTTGTAATGGGCTTAGGACTAAGGGTCTGGAAGCCCAAGAGGGCACCAGCAGGAGAACTCGGGTATCTTCTTTAGAACCTAAACCGGAGACTACAAGGAGTTAGAGCCTACCCCAAAACCTCATTGCAAACCCTAGGTGTTCTGAAACTTTTTCCTTTAATTTTTATTTTCTTTTACTTCGTTTTATTTTTATCATTTGCATCATTCAAAAAAGGCGTTGATCCACAAAAAAAACGTATCTGTTAAACAAAATAATTTGCATTAATAGAAAACGGTGTTATAATATAAGAGATGAAAAGCTCAGAAGTACGACTATTGTCAGAGAATACTCAGAATAGACCGGGATTCACGACGAACACACCAAAAGTCAACTTTTTGAGTTGGCGAAATTTGTAGGGGCAGACAAGAAAAAGTTGCTAACCTGGAGAATCCCTTTAAAGACAACAAGAACAAGATGACGGAACCCTAACTAAGCTGGAGACCATTGTTGAAAAGCAAATAAACTTCAGATGGAGGGCTCCAATGGCGCTTTCGTTAGGAACAAGCTCAGCAGAGAGTGAAAGCCAGAGATACAGTCATTCGAGCAAGCAAACCGTTACTTGCACAGTTTAGCCAGAGGAGCCGGAACGATTCGATAGGACATTCAACTGGTGACAAATGCGGAGGATGAATCAGTCCGTCAGAAGCTGTTCGAGTCCTATACCTTTAAAATGTTTCTTGTCTCCTAAGACGTAACACTTTTGTCCCCAATAAGGATTATTTATAATAACGTACCATTTTTGGATCAATGCCTCGAACATTTTATACATCATGCATTCTTGCATATTTCGCATAATTTTTCGTTTTTCCCCTTATAAGTGTGCGTGTCCTCGTTTAAAATTCGATCTATGTTAAGTTTTTGTTTCAGAATAACAATTACTTGTTAAATGTAGCAAAGTTTTTTTCTTGCTCTGAGAAAATAACCCAACAACAATTGTTTGTGAAGCAGAAATATTGAATGCAAAGGAGACAAATTTTGCCGAAGGAAGATGATCGGCGATGGCCAAGAAGAGATCAAACACAAAGGAGTTGTTATCGACATAAACCAGTCACGGCCGTCTCTAATCATGTTGTCCCATTTGGTCCACTCTATCCCATGTGGGGAACACCTCATCCAGCCAGCATCCAGACATGGCTCGCAAGGTTACTACCCTTGGCAACCAACTGAAACTTGGCATTGGAAGCCCTATCCAGGGGTAAGTTTAGTGTTCTTATGCTAGCAGAAAACAAATCTACCTACATATTTTAGATATGTGTGTGTTAGAGAGAGATAGTGTACGATATGTTTTTCGTTTCAGGTGCAACCTGATGCATGGGGTTGCCGTGTTATGCCCATACCTCAGGGAAATTACTCGACATTCACTCAAGTGAGTAATTAGCTCTATGATTGCTGCAATACTGATTCTTTCTTCTTTTCTTTTTCAAAGATTAATGTAGTAAAATAAACATGTAATTTTCAGAGAATTGAAAAATTCTTGCTAGTCTTTAATAAGATTAGAGTATATGTGTAACATCCTCCATACCGGGTTAGTGATCAAATTGTGAAATTTCAAAATTTAGTGATCAAAGTAGATAAATTTAATAGTTGAAAGATTTAATGGGAATGTTTGTGTAGGATCAATTAACAAAGAAGGAGGAACTAAAGGGGTAAATGAGTCTTTTAATAGGGGAAATAATTAAATATTATATGATGGTATTTAAATCCACGTGGAAGGCAAATGAAGAGAACAAAAGTTTCCAGATTTCTCTTCTTCTTCACTTCTTCTTCTCCATCGTGAGACCAAGCTAAAGGTGAATTTTCTTGTTTATCAAATTCTTGATGAAATTAATTTCTTATTGATCCTTAGATGATAATTAAGCTTAAGGAAAGCTTAGATTATCTTAAAACCATAAGATGAGAAGTATGAGAATTAAAAAAAGGAAGTAGAAAAGTGAAATCTTGGATTAGAGTTCATATAAGAATTAGAAGTGGGATTGACTTGTCATAAAGCTAACTAAGAGTATGTGGTGTTAGAATTCAAATTAGAATATGTTGGAATTTGGGTTAGATTCTTAATTCTACATAGAGAATTGGATTTCTAAGTTTAGAGGTATGAAATGGATATAATTAGTTTAAGTAAGAGTATGCAAGTTAGGTATAAAGGAGTGAAATAAAGTGTAAGAATTATAAAGAGATTTTCGTGCTTAAAATGACATTTTCTGGGCTATGTGCATCGATGCACATTCAATGTGCACCGATGCATCAAGGATAATCCCAAAAATTGTTCAAGGTGTACCGATGCCATGAAGTGCATCGATGCACACTTTAAAATACAAACATCGAATAGGATTTATGCATCGATCATGGTGTGGTGCATCGATGCATACCTTCATTAAAAGATGAAAATGACTTTTCTTTTAGCCAAGAAATGATAGTTAGAATACATTCATTATAACTGATAAGTATCAATAATTACTATGTAGATATCGAGCCTAGTTCTGGAACAATCGACAAGTAGAATTGATCGAGAGAAAGACAAAAAATCTAGGTGAGTACATATGCATAGCATGAATATAGTATCATAATCAGTTCTAGACTTATGATAAGTCTAGATTCAATATTTTGATACATGATTACATCCATATTATGAAACATGATATGAGTTTATATCATACGCATTATGTGATATGAATATGCAAAAAAAGTTATATGAGTTATGTGATAAATGTATGGAAATGATATGTCTATGTGATAAAGGTAGGAAAATAATATGTCTACGTGATACAAATTATGTGAATTGTGAAAGCTCATGTTATGTAGATGAGAACTATAGGTATAGCTGGCATGCGAAGGGTAGAGGGTCTACGCGGTCCTTCGGGATATATATATATTCTTTGAAACATGTATGAAGTCTTGTGAGACACATAATTGATCCCTAGTATACGTATATGATTCTTAAGGAATGATATGTGGTCCTTATGGACATTATTATATGGCACTACGGTGCAATTCTACGCGGCACTCCGGTGCAATTCTACGCGGCACTCCGGTGCAATTCTACGTGGCACTTCGGTGCAATTATACGAGCTGTGGTGACAACATAGTGCACAACCTCACAATACTCACATACCTTAGGTTCTTAATATGGTATCATGGGCTAATGAACTTAATAATGTGAACTTATGAATGTGAGTTTGATAAATCTATGGGTAAGAAACATGGTTATGGTTATTGGATTGTTTACATACATATTATCATTTCAACCCATCTCATTTTGGCAATTCCTTTATATTTTATTGATATTATTATATTGCCTCACTAAGTCGATGACTTAGTGTGTGAGTTTTTCACACGTAGGATCCGATAAAGTAGACGATCGAGGTTAAGCTGGACAACATTACTCCTGCAACTATCAGATCAGAAGCAACTCAATCAGCAGGTCATTTTGTTATGTAAATGGATGTTGGCATGTAACTAAAGGGTTAAGTTGTGTATGCTCTGAGTATTTTGGTGAAAGTGTATTAATATATGTATATTATCGTATTTTCTTAATATAAGTTCAAATGTTGTGATTTTGTAAGAAATGTGTTTTAAAAAGGTAATGTGACACCTCGAACTAGTATCCGGGTCGGATACGGGTTAAGGGTGTTACAATATGAATGCGCTTTAAACCTGTTTCTGGTATTCTGCTTTTCAAGAATATGCAGAATGCAAATGGATTTCATTTGTCTAGCACCATGGACAAGAGTAGTGGCATGCCTCAACGTTCTGTCCAACATCCCCGGTAACTAACATGTTTGTTAAAGTACATATTCATTCTTTTTAGTAGTGTAGGGTGATTGCAATGCAATATATGTCAGAATTTTCTTAGTCTGTTGTTAACACACAACTTGATGTAGCTGCTCTAACCCAGACACGCAAATGGCACAATTTTTCTGATCATACACTTGTATTTTCGTTAAAGGGATTACAGTAATGACTTGTGTGTTTGAATGGATTGCAGTCAGAGGAAGTAATTGACGAGGTGATGAAAGAAGCGATAAACAAGCCATGGTTACCCTTACCTTTAGGCCTCAAGCCGCCTTCTACTGATAGTGTGCTAGCTGAGCTCTCTAGACAAGGCATCTCCACCATCCTCCTCACATCAACGGCTCTACTTCCTGATGACGTGGCTCTAGATTACTCGGTCCCACCATTATGCTGCTAATTTTACGTCATTGACATGTTCGGAGTTTGGACACTTCCTAGCATCGCAGCGTGCACTTCCAACTGTTTCAACGTTTGAAGAGAACGCACCTTCGAAGCGCGTTGTCGTGGAGCTCATGCCAAACGAAGAAAACAAAGGAAGAGCAAGGCTTGGCAGTTTAATGGCACAGTGAAGAGATGAAGTGCTTATAAGGTGACAAAATGGATGGAGTAGATCTGATTTTCCACCACAATTTAGAAATGTGGTTGAAAATAATTTATAACATGACACATAACACCCTTTGTTTTGTTTTATTGTTGTTTAATATTTGGATTTGATACTAGAGTTGCATTGGACGGTGATGATTGGGTCATAGTATTACCTTAATAGGTTAATTCGGTTCATCGTGAGAGAAATAGGTCAGTCGGTTCGTACATGATTTAGTATAGATTTATAATCATAGAAATTAACTTATAATTTATTTTGAATCTATCAAATGGGGTTAAAGAGAGTGTTATTTTTCTTTTTTAAGGTTTTAGATTCGAACAACTGTGTCGGTATGTTTATGTTGTCTAATGTTAATGATTAAGAAATGTTTTGAACATATATTAATACTACCGCCCTTAATCATTTAAAAATATATAATTTTTTGTTAGTTAAATTAATTTTAAAATTTAATAATCAACTGAAATAATCAATACAATTAATTTTATAATTAGAAAAATCTGTCTAAACAGAGTAATTAAAGAAACAAGTAAACCAAATGAGTTGATTTAGTCTATTGTTTGGGTTTAAACTAAAAACACAGTCCCTAATTGTAGGACTGTGTCTTAAGATCCAATTCTAAAGAAAAAAAAGGTAAGTCCTAAGATCCAACCCTAAAATTATTGAGAAAACAATAAGGAATAGAAAAGGATAAAAAAAGGAAAACAAGATCAAGCTCTTTAATTTCGTCAACAAACTCCCTTTCTGTAATAGCTATCCTTGTCGGTTAAACATTTTCGTTTTATCATATTTTCAAAAATGCATTTTGATTTGACTTCGTACTTCTTTTGCTTTTGTTTTCAGATTGATGAAATCAATGCCCTCCATATTTTGATGTGTTGCAATATTTAAGGTTATTTGAGATCTCGTATTCGAGTATCGCATATGTAGGGACATAAATATTTATTATTAGAGGGTTAAAAGCTTTTAAACATATATTATCTTATATTCACCTTAAATTTATATATAAAAAAAATTGTATGACATTATACCATTAACACCCATCAATTGCTGAAAGTGGCTGCTCTATTATTATTGAATGCCTAGATGGCTTGTGCTTTTGTAGGGATATGTTGCATCAAGAATTTAAATTGTGATTACGATTGTATTTTTTGTTGTGTAGTATTTATCACAATTGCAATAATAACGGATGTTATTGCGGTCATTATAAATATTACGGTTATATAATAACAGTTTCGGATGACACCTTTACTGTTATATAATAATCACTATTCCGATATTAGACCATTATTTAAATCCGGGGTTAGTATGACCCTTTTCTAGAGCAGGAATGCTTTGAGTGTTCTCATTTGACATTCGGCCAGGAGAGAGCTGAGCACAAGCGTAATTACGATGTGTATGAAATTATACGGCATACCATTATCTCATCTGTCCTCGATACAGATCAACAGCAAACAATTCCGGCTCACGAGTAAACAAAACTTGAACATCTGTTATTTATGCAATCTATACTGGATTAAAGCAAGAAATTCAACCCGAGACATGACTTGCTTGTGTAAACAGTCAGATATTTTTGTCTAAGTTTTCCAAAAATATAGATGATATTGTTACCTAGTCTAATCTCAGTTTACCTAAAATTGATTGCAAAAGTTAGATGTAACTGATGAAGTATCTCTACAAGCCAAATAGCCAATAATGGCATCTGGTAGGACGGGGGAAAAAGGAATATACGTAAAAACTCAAAAACTTTGGTTCGGTCGTGAAAAGGACGGACAAGCAAACGACGCTTAGAAATTACCAAACAATGTGACCAACTGGCTCTAGTATTTAGCATATGATCAGAAATCAGACTTTTGTTAGATTTGAACATTGGACAGCTTCACAAAAATGAAGACGGATGAGCTTAGCAGAAACGGATTTGGTGGTTCTTTACCCGTTGAAAATGTCCAATCACTTGCAACCAAGAACTTGAAAGACATCCCATCCAGGTATATCAGGGAAGAGGTCGAGTTCGATATAGTTTCCATCGATGAATCCTTTCGAATTCCAGTGATTGATATGAGCAAATTAGGCCATGATGATGAACAGCAAAAACTCCATTTGGCCTGCAAAAACTGGGGCTTCTTCCAGGTACCAAATCTAAAACAAAAGGTTTTAGCTATTGTTTAACTTTTACATCAATCAAACCTATTAGTTTTTCTATTGATGATGAAACAGTTAATCAATCATGGGGTAGGGGATGAAGTGATTGAGAAAATGAAGATGGACATACAAGAGTTCTTTAAGTTACCATTGCATGAGAAGCTGGCTTGTGCACAGATTCCGAATGACATCGAAGGCTACGGCCAAGCTTTCGTTGTGTCGGAAGACCAGAAGCTTGATTGGGGTGACATGCTTTTCCTTCTTCCCCTTCCTGTTCCCTTAAGAAACATGAGACTCTGGCCAACTACTCCACCTTCATTCAGGTAATACATCCTGTGCATACTATTCATAATCTACACAAGCAAGCAACTTATAAATCTTGAATTTCAGAACAACATTGGATAAGTACTCAATGGAGTTACAAAAGGTTACAATTCATCTCATGAAACTGGTGGCAAAGAACCTGGGGACCGACCCCGAGATGTTCACAAGCTTCTTCGAGGATGGAACACAGGGAGTAAGGATGAACTACTACCCACCATGTGCACAGGCAAGCAGGGTAATTGGTCTAGCACCACACTCTGATTCAACTGGCTTGACGCTCTTGATTCAAGTGAATGAAGTTGGAGGACTACAAATCAAGAAAAATGGGAAATGGATACCCGTTAAACCAATCTCCGGTGCATTTATCGTCAACATAGGAGATGTGATAGAGGTAACATGCTAATACAAATCTATTAGTTGCTAAACAACAGTAGCCTTCATGAATTTGCATGGTTACTACTTTCTCAATCATCTGAAAAATGCAGATAATGAGCAATGGAGAATATAAAAGCATTGAGCATAGAGCAGTGGTTAATCCAGAGAAAGAACGAATGTCAATTGCAGCATTTCACAGTCCAAATATAAGTACCAAGATTGGTCCACTGCAAGATCTTGTGAAGGCGAAGACAAGCGAAGCAAAGTATAGGACTATACCGCATGAGGAGTTCCTGAGATTGACAATAAGCAGCAAACTTGATGGAAAAGGATTGCTGGATCAAATGAAGCTTTAAATTGTAATCTCAGTTAACTTGATACAAAATTATTTCGTAAAAACGTTTCACTGCTGCCATTTTCTTTCTTATTAGTTTTTAGGCTAAATACAAAAATAAGCGTATAAACATGCTTTTTATTAATATTTGGTACCTAAATGTATTAACAATTTTAATGTTACACTTTAAAATAACTACACCATAACGATAGTTAAAAAACTATTAATTAATGTATCACATTTATATCATTTCTTTTGCTCGGCAAAATAAAGTTATTTTTATTAAATAGCCCGAGTCAAGAGTCTCGTTAAAAACCTCCTTAAACTAAGTGGAGGAAAAGAGTACTCTTGACTAGGAACAAAATACAACTCCAAACGGTACAAACGAAACAAAATACAAAACACATGAAGATGCCCCTTCAAATTTTGAAGCCCCTAGACCAAAGACAAGGCTGAGAACATTTCAACATTACAACAAACAACAACCTTTGTGCAACAGCAGCACCTTCAACTGATACTCTAAAAGACTTGACACAAACATCTTCTCTAGAACCAACATAGACAAACCGAGCAAAACAAACAAAGCTAACATCATGTAGACTAAGAACAAAATACATCTGCTTGACTCGACAAAACACGTCTCAAGGTCAAGTTCGGATTAAATTATCATCCCTAAATGATGACTGAATTTGAATGAAATTAAACATAAATAAATAAGATTTACAAAAAAAATGTTTTTTTTACAAAGATGTATCAATATATATATATATATATATATATATATATGATATGACTTATACCCGACTCAACTTGAATTGACTTGAAGATCAATGTTGGATCGAATCGAAAATGATTGATTCGATATTGATTCTACCCGAAAAGTTAACCCATCTGATTTGAATCGACTAAAAAAATCAATCGATTCGATAATGACTCAAATAAAAGAACAACTGATCTGATATTGATCTGATATTGACTTGACCCGATCTAACTTATCATAGACTCAAATAAATCTAAACCCTAAATAACCCGACCTAAATTGAACCTGATCAAAATCAAGTCTAAACCCGAAGTGATCTGACTCGAATTCGATTCTAATGACCCGTTTGCCATCTCTGATGGCGGACGACCAAAACAGAATGATAAGAATAATTAATGATTAAATACACAGTTTAGTATTTTTTTTCATTGTATCAATATCCAAAGATATTTTAATAACTAGACTCCAAATATTTTATAGGGTAAAATACACCATTCCTCACTAAACTTTACTTTCTCTTATTTTAATCATCATACTTTTAACTTTTCTAATTTACTTACTAAATTTTTAAATTGCTCATGTTTTGATCACTCTGAATTATTTTATCATTTTTTTGTATGACGTGACATTTCTTATTATTATTTAATATAAAATAACTGAAAATATAAAATAAAAAAGAAGGTGGCCAGACGCCACCGCCGTAGATGGTGGTAGTTCGGTCCAAATTTCATGGGTCAGCTCGTCTCGACACCCTGAATCAGAATCCAGTGGTTGCTTCACTAAAAAATGTCCAAAAACTCATGAAACTCGATTGAATTACTTTGGCTTCCTCACTTTTGATATCTAATTATTCGAGTTTAGAGCAAGTTTCAGTAAAATATGGAGAGCGGATTCAGACTCGGGGTGTAGAGGCGAAGCGACCTATGAATTTGAGACCGAACGACCACCATCTACAGTGGTTGGCGGTGGCATCCGACCACCTTATGTTTTTATTTTATATTAAATAATGATAGAAAATTCCAAGTCATACAGAAATAATAATAAAATAATTCAGAGTGATCAAAACAAGAGTAATTCGAAAGTTCAGTGAGTAAACTAGAAAAATTAAAAGTACAATTAGTAAAATAGGAGAGAAAATATAATTCAATGAAAAATGATGTAATTTACCCTATTTTATAAGCCCTAATTCGCCGCACATTTTTAAGCGGTTACTAGGGTTTCTTTCTGTTTCTATAAATACTCTTTTCGCTATGTTTCATTAGCCGCTCTTGTTCCTCGACAGGCGTTTGTGTTTCAATTTTGGTTTTCTATTGTTAAAGTAAATGCAATGATGAATATTACTGTGTACCAGAGGAGTCTCCTATGTTGGTTGCACAATCCCTCTAAGAAGTTCTGAGCTTATTCTTTTCCCACTTTCGTTTCGAATTTAATTTTTTTTTCTCGAGTTCTTAAAACAAAGAAGAAGTAAAGCGACGTGATGATAGAAATTCAGTGGTATGCGAATCCACTGATATTAAAGTTTGATGTTAATTTGAAGTTCCGACAGGTTCTGATCGCTTCTTTTTATTTTTCCGTAATTTTCAGGAAAAAAGTATTTCATGTTTTCAACTTGTTTTTACTGAAATCTGTTATGGGCATGTGATGAATCTCATTCTTATGGGTAATTTGCGTCTGAATTAGCATGTCTTTGATGCTAAATCATCTTGGAGATCTGATGCCCAATTTCTTTGGAAACCTCATTTTGTTTAGCAATTCAACTCAGATGTATTGCCTACTACTTTGGATTATTTTACAATAAAATGGATTTTATTTATCAATATAGATTAAAAATAAGATTAAATTTAAAAGTAAATGTTTAAATAATTTTTTTAAAATTGTTTAATAAGGTGTATAATGTATTTAATGATACACTTTTTCATGTTTTTATTGTAATGCTTTTAATGTTACACTTTTAAATTATATTTATATGTCTATATATTTGGAATTTTTAGGAGGGTTGTGAAGCTAAACATTGTGATTTAGGAATGACGCTTCATATTATTATATTACAAATTCGTTTTTTTAAATAAACTTGACGAATAATAATTATAAATTTATGAAAATTTATTTAGTAACCTGTTATGAGAAACTGAAATATTACTAGATTTTAAAGAAATTTTTTATGTTTGTTAGCATATTATTAGAAGTATAAGGCTATTTTGTTTTTAAAACAAGCATATAACCCTATTGATGCATTGTGTTAAGGGCATGTTTTGTAATCCATTGTAATTTTCTTTGTTTTGTTCAATCCTCTTCCACCCGGGACAGTTAAAAAGGAATAAAATTAAAATATATCAATAGATTTTTTTGTATATTCTTTTAATAATAACAAAATTAGGAGGTAGTGGTTCCTTGGGGATATACATCGTTTCGTCCTTGTTCACATTCATCAACCCCGGCCGCAGGCCGTTTGTCACTTTCAACCTACATGGTTGCTTTCTTACATGACCTCAATAATAAAATAGAATAATATTCTTTTTATAAGATTTAATTTCGAACAGCTATACTTATCGGTGTCTATATATTATCATGAAATTATTACCAGTGATGATATCTAAAAAGTACCATTAACATATTAACACGGGAAACATGAAATTTATTAGTATACCATAAATGGAAGAAATCATGAAATTCAACAGTGCAGCATGATCATAAATAAGCTCAACTATCCTTCACTATATACACATTCTAAAGGATAGAGCAGGATCATAGAAAAGGAAACATGAATTTCAGCCTGATCAAGTGGGTGCAACTTTGATAGCTTTTTGCAATTCACTCTCCACCTCACTCGTCTTGTTTTCATTCTTCTTCCCTTCTCTTCCACCATTGTCTTCAGCACAACTCTTCTTGTTCCTCCATAGCTCCAAGTCATTTGAATTCTCATTTTCCCTCCTAGCTGAAACCCCATGTCTCATATCTTCCATACACTCCTTCATTTCCCTATTCTCAGTCTCCAACATCTTCAAATCTCTTCGAATCCATGCGTACATACTTTTGAGCAATTCGAGATCATCTTCTTCATTACTTGCAACACTCTTGTTTTTCTCTTCCTTCACTTCACCTCATCAAGCTTCTCTATCCCAATCTTGTTTATTGTCAAATAAGGCATTTTTGACCCCACGTCCGATGGCAAGTTCACGGTCCACCTTAGGTTCACCACAGCGCTTTTTGTCACAGGAAACATCGTTCTTGCTCTGACAGAGATTCCACAAAAAATCCCAGCTTTCTTGTCATCTTTCCTCACCAGTGATCTCCCCGTACCAAACCCATCTTTTGAATATAAACCATTCTCATAGCCAAACTTTGGGGTATCAAGCACATCATCAGCTCCATTACCTTGTTCCAATTTCACATCTTGCCAAACTGAAGCCGAGGGTGAAGCAGATTGTGCTGAAATGGAATGATGAGACCCAGAATCTGATTCCAAGCTTGGTTTAGACAATGTAGCCTTGTAAAAAGAAAAGTTGTCAAATTGGGGTTTGAAATGGAGAGAGAAAGCCGGAATTATGGTTCCAGGGTTAGCAGATGAAATAGAAAACTGAGCAGAGAAAACAACAGAGGAGTCTTTTGGTGAGCCAAAGAGACCGAGACCAGATTTCAGAGAAAGAAAGAAAGGGATAGTGGTGGAAGGGGAAGTTGAGGGAGCGTAAGAGAGTTTGAGACAAGGGCCAGAAGGGAAATTTGTGCAGAGAGAAAAGGGGGTGTTTTGAGAGGACTTGTTGCTGCTGTTGCCATTGACGTTTGTGGGGGTGGTGAGACTAGAAACGAATGGTTGGCTAAATATAGAAATCGGTATTCTTGCTTTCAACACTGGGTTCTTCTCATCTTGGATCTTCAAAGATAACTTCATTTCTTTTGATTCTCTCTATTTCTGTTTGTGTTCGTTGGTTTTTGAAGAAAGAGTGATGATTAAACCGATGAATTTGATTGGTTTGGGCCTTCTGGCAAGACAAGATTGTAGGAGACTCATGTTCCAAGGAACGAGTCCAGCGCGCGATTCATCATTGCACTGTGTCAAGTCAATGTACACCACAGAAAAAGGATAAGCGGATCGTGTCAACTGTCCACTGTCATATACTCGTATTCCCTGACTATTTTGGCCATTTTATTCGCACAAAAGAGGAAAATGACACGTTTGATTAAAGTCCAAGAGAATAGCTCTTTGAAGCAGATAACATACTGCAATTTACAACCATTCTAATCATTAAGAAAACTGTGTTAAAGTGAAGGGAATTCAAGAGAGTTGAGAAGAAAAATGATTTCTCTCTCAGAATACCTCACTTTTCTTTCGACAAGACGTTGGTGGTTAACCCTTTTCTACCCATTTCCCTCATTATTCTTTCAATCTATACTGTTATTCATATGTTTTAGAATGGATTATAAGATCTCACAGTTTAAAGCTGGATTGATCATCAATATTTTCTGCTGTTTTTCCTTCCAACTTGATATTCTTGTACCATCGGGCGCATGCTATGTAGACAATCAAGTCAAGTGATGTTAGACCAGCTAAGAGGAAGTAAAACCGATCTAGGTGACCCTTGTTGAGGTTGCCCGGTATCCATCCTGGCATGTGATCTTCGGTTGAGATCTTCATAACCATTGTTACTAGCAAGCTGCTCACGTAGTTCCCTAGTGATATCGATGTCATGCAAAGTGCGCTACCGAAGCTTTTCAGTCCGTCCGGCGTCTGCGCGTTGAAGAACTCAAGCTGACCGACATACATGAAACTTCGGATGCTCCTATCAATGCGTATTGGGGAACTTGCCAAAAGATGCTCAAGGAGCTTGAGCCTTCACAATGCATGCAGTCTTTGTTGGCATACTTTAGTCTATAGCATTCCACAATTGCGGCCGAAACCATTGCTAATACGGCTATGACAAGGCCAATACCCATCCTCTGAAGTTCGGTGAGTCCCCTGGAACCCTTTTTCCGAATACTTGCCGCCAATGGATCAAGAACTCGTCGGTAAAGAAATATGAAAAGTGCCACACTGAGAATATCAAAGCTAGACATGCTTGCTGGTGGAATCCGGAAACTCGAGACAGTAGTTTTCATTGCAGACCCTTGCTCGACGAATAGGGAGGCCATTTGTGTGAAGACGACGGAGTAAATAATGGTGCAAAGCCAAATGGGGAGTAGTCTTAGCATGCATTTAACTTCTTCTACTTGAGTAACGGGGCAGAGACGCCATGTGCTTTGAATCCCTTTCTTCTGCTCATCAACATCCCCCGTACTTATGTATGCTGCTCTGTCCAAGAACCTACAAAAACATCATCAATTAATGATTAATGTTACTTAATCTATCATGTAATTATTTGTTAATTTCGAGATCATATTATGCTTCGATATTTACTTGAATTCTTCAGTGTGGAGAATCTTTCTAATGCCATTCATGGACGAGTCGTTTCCATCGACATCGTACAATTCATCGGCATCCGGTGGCGTATCAACACTGCATTTCCTAATTGCAGCTATTAGGACTTGAGAGAACCTGGAGAGTGGGTTCCCGCTTGGTTTGAAGTGCCTGTACCTAGTGGTTCCTGCCAGAAACAAAACAAGTGCTGCCAAGGCTGAGCCAGTGGACACCCAGAATCCAAGCGCCCACATCCCTTCGTCCTCAAAATACCCCAAAATGGTGTTGGAGAGAAGGGATCCCAGGTTCAATGCTAGGTAAAAGTAGCTAAAGAAGGCAACCTTAGAGTGCCCTTCCTTAGGGTCTTCTTCATCAAACTGATCAGCCCCAAAGGTAGCAATGTTAGGCTGATACCCTCCATTCCCTAGTGCAACCAAGTAGATTGAGAGGTAAAACAAAGTAATCTCCAAGCTTGAATGTGAACCACACGGCAGTTCTTGATTCCCACAGCCTTTTGGTGCAATCAAGAAAAGGTATGTTGACAGTGACAAGGACACCAAACCCTGAATCAGACAGGCAAACACATTTAGAACAACTCCAGCTTGAAAATTTAAGCAGACATCCAGATTACTATGAGAGCTGAATTGCTTACAATAACAAAGACGAGTTGGAAAATGGCACATGTTTTGTATCTTCCCCAGTAGGAATCACTGAGGAAAGCACCAACCAGTGCAAAAATATACACAGTGCCGGTCCATTTGCTGACATTATTAGCAGCATCAGCATTGTTTTGGCCTAATACTCTTGTCAGGAAAAGCACCAAGTTCACCCCTACCCCAAAGAACGCTAGGGTTGCCAGACCTTGATTCACTGGTTTAATCATTCACAAAACAAAAGGTTAGGGAAGACCTGAAACCATAGGAACCATCGAAAAGTTGCTTTCCATCACGTCTTGTATATTAGCAATCAATTATTATTAGTCAGATATACAGCAGGCAATGTCAAGATCAAACACCCAACTAAATTATATGATGGGTGACGTCTCGTTTTCTCTGCATGTGAAGTATTGGCTCTCTTTATATTTCCGCCCAGAAGTAAGGTTTGATTACGAGCTTGTTTGATAATGTTTTTTCTTTTTCGAATAGTTTTGGTGATTATAATATAATATATGTTTAATTTTTGTTGACAATGCATATAAACCTTATAGAAGAAGTTGTTTAAACATATAATCTCTAGAATTAATGACTTTTTCTTATTGCTGAAACTATTTGATGCTTTCTATTTGATAATGTTTTTTCGATCTTCATGTGCATTTAGTTCATATAACAAAAAGGAAAACAAAGCAATAACAAGAAACATGACCATGTTCATCATAAATACATACGTTAAAATGATATAGGACCAGGGTGATATTAAAATCAATTATGTGATAAATATTTTGATTAAAAAATACAGCATCTCTTTTTATATATATATATATATATAATACAATTATGGTGATAAAAGGAAAATGATTATTAAAAAATAGTAGATAAATTAGTACAAATCAAACGATCTCAAATGTTAAAGAGATGATTGTTAGTCGTTTTTGAGTTAGAACACGCCACTTGTGGGGATATCCGAGTTGTCAAATGGATTCTCTAGTTTAATCTTTTGATTAACATATCGTTAATCCTATGGGTTCAATTCTCAGAACATCTAAAACTATATTAATTTTTTAACTTATAAAATTAATAATATATTAATAGAAGGATTAAAATGAAAAGATATTAATAATTTGAGAACAAAACTATAACGTTTTTCTTTACTATTCACAGATTGGATGCACTTTACGATTAAAAAAATGAGTGATTTTTATTTGTCAAGAAATAATTGGATTGTATTATTTTAGGTGCTCTTTTAAGGGCAGCTGAGGATTTTCATTGGGAGATTGTGTAACTTAGTAGAATTTGTCACGTGGAAAGAACCCATGTCATGCATAACTCACGATGGTGGAACGATGATTAGTGGCGGATCCCCTAACACGTGAGGGTGAGTAAATGCTTATTTTGGAATCCGGTTTTTTTTAATTAGTTATTTTACTGTTTATATTTATTTCAAAATTTTATTTGTGCTCATTCTTATAAATATTTTAAGGTAAATTATATGTTTAATATTTTAACTATCATTTTTGTTTTGTTTTGGTCATCCAACTATTATCTTTTACAAAATCATAATTAGTTTTATGTTTTGGTTTCATTTTGGTCAATTGTAGTTAAAAAATTAACAAAATTGGAAACCTGACATTTTTCTAAAAAATTCAATGATGACATAGTATTATCTTATGGTGGCACGTCAATATTACTATTAATTTTTTAACAGTAGGTGATCAAAATAAAAACAAAACGTAACGTTAGGTATAATTTTAAAATACAAATTGTATGACCAAAATATAACAAAATAATAGTTGAAATATTAAACGTGTAATTTACCCAAATTATATATATATATATATTCAATCTAAAAAATATTTCTACATACGCTACTTAGAGTAATTACGTCTCTCGTCTCCCCTAAATTGCATGCTCTTCCTATCTCTTTCACTTAATTTATGTCTTCCTTTATATATATGTGTAGAGTTAGGAATCACTTACACCATACGTAAAACTCTTAGTTTTACACTTTTTTTAAGATCGTTAGACGATGAAAATCAAAGGATGAGATAAATTATTTGTTTTTTTAATGAATATCTTATCATTTCTTACCATTAATCTTAGCCTCGGATCTTGCACCTATACGTGTGTATATATAAATGCAACATGCAAGATAGAAGAAGACAAGTTGAACATTTTGTGTTGGGTTCTATTACGTTCCCAAATGTAAATGTGTTTGTAAGATGAAAACTATAAGAAAGAGCTTACGGAGAATGATAGTTCCAGCAGTCCATTTTCCAGACTTTGCTTTGATAGCAGGGCGTCCATGCCAATCAATACTTCCATCTTTACTGTATTCTCTCTCTTTCAACTTCTCCTGTTTTATCATTTTCATACAAAATGAAAACTAATTCAAATATATATATATATATATATATATTTTAAAAGGCAATGGAATACAAAATGAAAAGAAAAACGGGCTCCTATATGCCCTTACTCACCTCCTTACACACCTCTACGCAAGCCATTGGTGTTTCTTAACAAAAAAGAGAGAGCTTTTTGTGTAGAAGATGAGAGAGCAGGTGGTGAAAGAAACAATATGAAGTGGGGGAGGAGGAAGGAAGGTGTATAAATAGAGGGTGGGGAAGTTGATTCCAATGGTGGATATTGCATGGGAAACCCACATGGGCCAATCATTTATATACCATAAGATGCAAATTGTTTGAGCTAGGATAGTGATGGAATTGGGGAGGTTGTATTTTAATATATATTCATAATTTTTTTTAATCATTGATAATGCACACACATCTTATAGATACAATGATAACTATTCAAATCCAGAATTTTAACAAAAAAATAAAATCCTCTTTAATTATTGAGAATACTTGATAGGTTGTTGTCGAATAGTTC